TAAAGCAAAGAAAACACAGATGCATCATGCATGACCGTTGCCCCAGGTTCAATTAATGGTAGAGTGAGGCCAGGCAGAATTGGAATGGTTCAATAGTTCTGGTCTTTTCGCGTCTCTCGTGCACCATCATCACATGAACAGAACTTGGTTTCAGCTTTCACAATGCATATCCCTGCTTTCAAATGCGATATGTTTTAACCTTTAGGTAATGTTTGTTTGTTGAATTAAATTGAATAAAATTATGAGATTACTAGTGAGGTGATATTAATATTATACGTGTTAGATAGAGTCAGTTTATATAGGAAAATGCCTGGTAGCTCGAAGCTACCAGGCTTGAAAATGGCTCGAGAGAAAGAGAGGGAGAGGGAGAGGGAGAGGGAGAGGAGAAAGAGAAGGGAGGGAGAGGAAGAAGGTCGGCGTATAGTTTGATGTATTTATAAAAGAATGTGAGAGGAGAAAGGAGAGATGAGAGAGAGAAAAATAATTGATTGATTAATTAATAATAATAAAATAAAAAAAGAGAAGTTTTAAAAGTAATTTTAAGTTTTATTTAAAAAATATATTTAGTTAATATATTTCATTCAAATTATAATTTAAAAATAAAATTGAGTTTTGAAACGTTATCCTTGTTTTTTATTCAAAAAATATAAAGGGCTAAGAGCACAGCAGAGTAGGGGTATTTTCTTTCTTTTTTCTTTTTTTTGGGGGTGGGGGGTCATGGGTATTTCTTTTAGTGATGGAAAAACGACAATAAAGCAAAGAAAACACAGATGCATGACCGTTGCCCCAGGTTCAATTAATGGTAGAGTGAGGCCAGGCAGAATTGGAATGGTTCAAAACGACCCCGTTTCGAGTGATTTGAACCATTTGAGTCACAAAATTTTGAACTTTCTAATATTGTTCATAATGATATTAGTTAGTTGAAATTAAATATTCAAAATTATGTAAAAATTCTTATTACATATAAGGTAGCTTTGTTGATTTTCTAAAATGGGTGGCACATTGTCATTTAACCACCAATCTATGGAACTGGATTTGCAATCTCATCCATGGGAATGCTACTCCTGTCTCATTTTGTCACAAACATATATGATTTAGGTGAAACACACAGATTATTAATTCAATTCCCCTCTCAAACGACTATGAAACATGTTCTTAGGTTAGCTTTGATATCAGGATCAGGTTGACTAAGTTCATGTTTGTTTGGACGGAATGAATAAAGGAGGATTATAATCCATCAGACTGTTAATCTTAAGATACATAATCTCTAGACTATTTAGTTAGAAATGACATGTATCCTATATTTGTTTAATCATGAGATTAAATGTTAAGATAAAAAATGACTAATCTATTAAATCCAACGTTTGCTTATGATATTGTAAAGAATGATGAATGTTCAAAAGACTATTTTGTCTTTTTTTGCATTGTTTACTAAATAATAGAAATACTAAATTTGACTTATAAATTTTATTTTATTTATTGGCTACAACATTTAAAAAATTAAATAAATTTATTTTATTTTTTAGTTGAGACTTTTAAATTTTATTTTATTAAGTGCAATACAAAATAAAACCAAATAATTTGTCAACGTACTAGTGAACAAAAAAATTGAATGTTTATCCCACCATTTGAAAAAAAAAAAAAAAAAATTTGAATTTTTATCCCATCATTTAAAAAATAAAATTAAGAAAAACATTAAGATACATGTACCTGGGGGCAAAAATGACTTTTTACAAGTTAATTCCCTAGGATTGTTGTCTTATCATTTGTATCTCACCTTCTCCTAAGACACAACAATTCCACATATGAAGGATATGGAATTCAGTTAGACTCCTAATCTGTCCTACAAATTTTTAACCAAACAATAGACCCCTCCATGAAATGGATATGGAGTCCAATCCCCCCTCCAATCTCTCCAAACAAACACAATGGGGTTGAGTAAATTATTATGTTTTGTTTGGCTAAAACTACTCATTTAATATGTACTGTCATTTCTTATTTGATAAGAATATAATATAGATAATGGAGGAGTGATTTTACAATATTCCTTTGTCTCAAATAATCTTTTACTTAATTCTCGCTCCAATGCTTAAAACAAGAAGCACTCCGATCGGGGTATCAGAATTAACACTCTGACGGTTAAATTAGGTTGTATATGAGAGGGAATGAGTATGATATTTCAAAGACAAAGTCTAGTTGATTGATAATGCATAAATTTTTTCTTCAACTCACCTTCCTTATATGGTCATTTGGTATAGATATTTCTTATGTAACTTGACTTGTTTGTCATCATTACTGGAGTGTGAAGGTCCAGTTTTCTACTACACCTTCAGAAAGATACAACCTAGACCTACTTTACTTTTTGGCCCAGGTGCCAACCGATTCTACCGATATTTCCTTTTTGGCATGGCGCTTAGTCAGTGAATATATTGTTCGGCGTTCAGTTCCCGACGATCTAGTAGACTTGATTGAGTTTGTTCTTATGATGGATGGGCACAAATGCATTATTTTACTTAGCTCACACATATAATAATCTAAAAATATCTAATACTTTTCTTCTTGTGAGAAGTCACAGATTTCACTCCTAATCCATATTTAAAAGTGAAATGTGGTGGATGCATTTGGAACTCTTATTACAAATTCACAAGGTGGCTCATTTGTTAAGGGTCTTTTAAGGCCTTGTTTGTCATAATTTAAAAAAAGTCAAAAAATCATTATCCTATTTAAGTTACATCATCTTATTTAAGTCACATCACCTCTCTATCACATCACTTCAAACCCAACTCATACCCAACTCGAGTTCAGATCCTCTCCAGCCAACTTCTCCAGCCATTCCTCCTGTCAAGGGCTAGGATTTGACCACGTCACTTTGGCCAAAGTCTACGGCTCATATCAAGTTTGGTTACAAAAATAAAAAATAAAATAATTGAATTTCTTCGATTTTCTTCTCTCTGCTTCTTCAAGGTCGTCTTCTTCTAATCTGATTTCTTTCAAATACATACAGATCTATTTATGCATACATAGAAAGATTACCCACCATCAAAAGCCTTGTATTAGAGAAATTTCAACAAACCCAAATAATGAAACTATACATACAAATACAATTACATATATCTATTTATGCTTATATAGAAAGATTGAGATACGATGATCCCACAACTGAATCTTCTCCTTCTATCTTCTTCTATCTTCTCTCTCTCTTGATTTTCTATCTGTTTTTCTCTTTCTAGCTGTGACTGCATAAATCCAAGAGCTTCTTCACACTTAAACAAATCTTATCAAAGAAATCACCAAGCTGGTCATTGATATTCTCAGTCCTTGATCTCAAAACCCCAAAACAACCATTCAAGTTGTCCACTCTCTCTCTTATCCTAACCTCTGTTTCTCAATCCACTACCACTCCATGTGAAACACACATCATTGTTCAAGTTTTGAAAATGACAGATTATTTGGGGAAAAATCAATGAAAAAAACATACAGATCAGGGCATCGATGTTCGTCACTGACTTCTATTCGTCTTCGATCGTCATTCACCAAAGCTTCGAAGAGGGAGGGAAAGGGAAGCTCTGTTGCTGTGTTGAATAAAAAAAATTCAATTTTTATTTTTTTATTTTTATTACCAAGCATCTGATCTGAGCCGTAGGCTTTGGCCAAGGTGACCTGGCCAAATCCTGGCCCTTGACAGGAGGAATGGCTGGACAGGTTGGTTGGAGAGGATCCGAACTCTACCCAATTCATATTTCATAAAAAAGTTAAAAAATATACTTATTTAGATCATCCCAAACCACCCTTAATCTTTTCTAGTGATGCTCTCGAATTTTCTTGTACATATTATCGGCAGGCAAGTGATTAGGTGCATCCAAGATTTATTCAGTAAGGAATAAATCCAAAGTAGATATGCCTTAAAGAGGTTCCTTATCTATCAATTATAATTATTTTTTCAATTGTGATAGAGATTTCACACATATATGACCCTTGCAATCCTCATTCTCATTCCAACCACTCACAATATAGAGTCCACACATACATGAGTGGACCGCACACACACATCAAGGGCCAAAATCAAATTAGGGATCATAAAATCCTAAAAAAGAGGTCCAAACATTTCTCTTATTTTTTGGTGCTTAATCAGTTATATTTATTGATGATATATTTACTTTAAGGGTGTGTTTGTTTTGAAGGATTAAGGTGTGGGATTGGACTATTAGTCCCACCGGACTAGTAGTCTATTGTTTATTTCACAAGTTTTGCCCCGGACTATTAGTCCCATATTTGTGGGACTATCCTATCTCATGGGGGAGTGTGATAGAAACCATGGGCTAACTCATCCCATGAGATTAGACAATAAAATTATATTTTTTCCCTCTAGTATTTAATTATGTATTATATTTAGTAAAATTCAAAAAAATTTAAATGTCTCAATTTAAAAATAAAATAAAATAAAATAATTTAATTTTTATTTTTGTTTTATTTATTTAATTTTTTAAAATATTTTTTTATAGATATTTAAATTTTAATAGATGTTTTATTTTATTTAATTATTATTATTATTTAAAATAAATTTATTTAAAATTTTAACTAAAAAATAACATATATTTTTATTTATATTTAATTTATTTAATTTTTTAAAAATAAATTTATTTAATTGTGCAAAAAATAAAATAAAATAATTTTTTATTTAATCTAACTAAAAATAATTAAAATATTAAAGCTATGTTTAACATTGTTATTACTTAGTAAGTAATTGAAAATGATAAAATAATCATTTGAGCATTTATCATTTTTCATAATATTTCAAACAAACATTAGATTTACTAAAAATAATCTAATCCAGACATCTAATCCTATAAATAAACAAATATAAGATACAAATTCAACCCAACCAAATAATTTAAAAATAATATATCACGAGACTAATAGTCCAATAAATTACAATCTCTACCCAATCCGTCCAAACAAACATATATGTTGTGTTACTTACCCCAAAAAAAATAAAATAAAATAAAATTTCACACAAGGGGGAATAACGTTTGTTTGTAGTGACCCTGCATAAAAGGCTTTGGAATCCGCCTTTTCCTCATACCAACTGCTCTCTCTCTCTCTCTCTCTCTCTCTCTCTCTCGGCTCTCGGGTAGTCTATTTTCTCTAGTCTTCCCCATTCTTGTTTTTCATTTCCTATTGTTTGGGTTGTAGTAGTTAGAAGGAAATCTGCTACTTGTGTTGATGATGATGTTGCATTCTCATGAAATACGGCTGTTTTTGGTTGTGCAGTGCAGAGAGAAATGGGTTCTCACTTATGGAGCGTGGTCCTTCTAGCGCTCGGTCTGATGATGGTGTCTGGAACAACGGGTGCTGCACCCAGGAAGCCTGTTGATGTTCCATTTGGTAGAAACTATGCTCCTACTTGGGCTTTCGACCACATTAAGTACTTCAATGGAGGCTCTGAGATTCAGCTCTCCCTGGACAAGTACACTGGTAAACAAAAACAATTTCAGTTTTGTTTTTTTTTTTCTTTCTTTCTTCTTTTACTTTTATTTTTTTGAAGGAAAAAAAAAATTCACATCTGAAAAGATAAGCAATTTTGGGGTTCAGTTTTTGAATTTATTAAAAACATTTTTGGTGTTTGATTTTGGGGAAGGTACTGGGTTCCAGTCAAAGGGATCTTACTTATTCGGCCACTTCAGTATGCAAATAAAGATGGTTCCTGGAGATTCTGCTGGGACAGTGACTGCTTTCTATGTAAAAGCCAATCTCATTCACACTTTGTTAATTAGTAGTTACCTTTATACTGAGATTGAGATTGAAATAATTACTACCACTACTAATGGCTCATTCTTACTTGATTTAATTAATTAATTTTCAGTTGTCTTCTCAAAACGCGGAGCATGATGAGATAGACTTTGAGTTCTTGGGGAACAGAACAGGGCAACCCTACATTTTGCAGACAAATGTGTTCACTGGAGGGAAGGGGGACAGAGAACAGAGAATATATCTGTGGTTCGACCCAACCACACAATACCACTCTTACTCTGTTTTGTGGAATCTCTACCTGATTGTGTAAGCTTTCACTTCCTGCTCCTGCCCTGCTTGCATTTTATTTTTGTTGTTTTCTTTTTCTGCTCTAATTTAAATATATATATATATATATAGTAGAATCGAAGACAATCCTCTCCATGGGATCAAACTGTTATTGTTCTTGCCCCTCTCTGTGTGTGTGTGTGTGTGTGTGGAGCTTAATGCGTTAGTATATATATTTTCTTTTAATGACTAGTACACCAATCGCCTGTGTCTTTATTACTTCTTTCAACATCCCATCTACCAGAAAGAAACCCCAATACTAATGTACCTCTCACCTTCCCATGGTTTCATAGAAATCTTTATGTTGTGTTTGGCTGGGATTTGGGGAGGGATTTGGAAAGAGAAATGGAAAAGGTGTGTGAAACTATGTGAAATATATACATATTTCATTCACATTTCACCTACCTTTTCCATTTTCCTTTCCAAATCCCTTCCTAAATCCCTCAACCAAACACACCATTAGGCACCCAAATTAAATGACAGAGTAATCGATATTAGCCAATTGTGCAAAGACAAATGTTACTTTGAAATGTAAATAATGAACAGTTTAGGTTGGCCTGCAGCATTTCAAACAAGAAGAAAGTAATATTGGAAGTAGGTGATGATATGCAAATTGATAATAAAGTGAATGAAAAGTAATATTATAAAATCTTATGATTGAAACCCTTTGTTTTTTGTTTTTTGGGAGATCCTCACAATCCTATTTGGATCTCAACATTGATGGTGTGGTTCTTACATATACATAAATGAATCCCACATATATATCAATAATTGAAATTCAAAGGAGGTTGTGGGCTATCCAAAAAAAAAAGGGGTCCAGGCATTTTTCCAAATCTTAACAAGAGGGGCTCTATTCTACTGTCTCATCAAATGGATTTTACTGATTTTTTTTTTTTTTCATCTATTATGGGAATTCACGCAGTAAATTCTGTGTACATGTAAATTTCATTACATTTAAAAAATAATGATAATTTCTATTATTTTTTACATATAATAAATTGTATATATAAATGTCGTTTGTTGTGTTTATGTACACAAGTGGTGATAAAAATAAGAGCAATGTTATATATATAATCTTATTTTCTCATTTTAATAAACAAAATAATAAGGTTTATATCAATAAATACATATGAGGCCTATTCATTTATATCAAGAGTAAGAAAACAATATAGGAATTAGGATTATATATAGCATTTTCTTAAAAGTAAACCAAATTTATGGGATAGTAAATATTACTTTTCTAAAAAGATAAGAGTATGCAATTAATTTTGACAAATGATGTGGCAGGTATTAACAAAGTCTTAATATAGGACTTCTGAAATTAAATGACAAGACACTTCATTTGCCATCAACTAAAATTTGTAAAAAAATCAACTTTTTAAATCTAGAAATATGTTAAAAAGATAATTAATTGGTAACTATAGACTGTGTTGTTTACTTATAGCATTTTTATTTGCTTTTACCTTTTAACTTTATGTGTACATGACATTATGCTACAAACTAAAAAAAACGTGGCCGTTTCCTTTTGTTAACACTTGGGACTACCTTTGTGCTTTTTATGTGCTGTGATTCAAACATAATTATTATTGCGCATTTGCCATTTTCTTTTGTTTCGATTATGGATGACATGACATGATGATGATGATGGGAAAAATTTGACTCGTCCTCCAGATTCTTTGTGGACGATGTACCGATAAGGGTGTTCAAGAACAGTAAAGATTTGGGAGTGAGGTTTCCATTCAACCAGCCAATGAAGATATACTCAAGCCTATGGAACGCGGACGATTGGGCCACAAGGGGTGGTCTGGAGAAGACAGACTGGTCTAAAGCTCCTTTCGTGGCCTCCTACAAGAGCTTTCACGTGGACGGCTGCGAGGCCTCCGTGGAGGCCAAGTTCTGCGACACTCAGGGAAAGCGTTGGTGGGACCAAAAGGAATTCCAAGATCTCGACGCGGCTCAGTACCGGAGGCTCCGTTGGGTCCGCCAAAAGTACACCATCTACAACTACTGCTCCGATCGAACCAGATACCCAACCATCCCCCCTGAATGCAACAGAGACCGTGACATTTAAGACCCACAACAACACAACAAACTATAATAATATTCAACCCCCCGCCCCACTATAAAATCTATTAATATTATTACTTAATTACTGCATATTATATATGTGAAGGGGAAGGAAGGAAGGAATTACTAAACCAACCATAAACTCTCTCTCCGAGGCTGGCTGGCTGGCCGAGCCCAGCTGCCACTACTCTTTCGAGGGAGCATGGTTGGTTGATGGGGCTTTTCTTTCAATAATTGTTCCTGTGTATTGTCAACTTTGTTTTGTTTGTTTGGTTGGTCGGTAGGTTGGGACATTATGGATCATGGGGGATGGGGTCTTTATGGTTTTCTTTTATGTTGGTTTTACAATTCCACATTATGGAATGGGTAGTAGTGGCAGCAGCAGCAGCATAGTAGTATAATATATTGATTCCCGGATGTAGATGGTGATAGCATGTGGACTACGCATCATCCCTCATGAGTGCCCTTCTGCTGCTTCTATGTTTTTGTATTGTAATAATTCTTTATCCAACTCCCTGTTGTATTTCTTATTTGTTAGTATATTAGTTGTTGAAGATACAAATCTTATATAATTTATGGCTTGTATGATTTGTGGTTGATTTTATTCCAATCAAGGAATATGATCTAATCTCTAATTATGCATATGATTGTTATTCATCTTATTTATATATGTAGTGCTTTGTGTGTGAATGAACCTAGGCTAAGATTGTACATACCATGTACACTCTTCTTGAACCTTCTACTTCAATTTTTCCAGCACATATTTTCAACTGTGTATTTCTCCGGCAAGTCGTTTCCGTTTTCTGGTAATTCCTTGGAATCTACTCTGTTTGGCTTCTCAATCATAGACCGTTTCTTTTTTCTTTCTGCAATCATCACTTTCTGATCCGGTGAAGCTGCTCTTCTTAGCAGCAAGAAATGCCTCTACGAAGTTGCCAAATAGTATTTTTCAGCCAGTATTTTTTCTGTTTGTTGTCATCCCCCCATTCGTCGTTTGCCGTTTGCGTTCAACTTTTATTCAAGTCTCTTGATTGATATAAGATGAAGTTTCTTTGGGTGAGATTACAGAGACATTATTCAACTTTTATTCAAGTCTCTTGATTGATATAAGATGAAGTTTCTTTGGGTGAGATTATAGAGACATTATTCAGTGTTCGTGGAACAATACTTAATTTTATGTACAGATTAACACTTTGCACATTCTCCCCTAAAACTCCACCACAAAAGTATGGGTTTAGCCTGTGTGGCTCCCCCTTTGGCCACCAAGTCTTTTCTAAGGAGTGGTTTTGGATTCCACTCTTAGGAGTGGAATAGGGGGCATGACTTAAATGCTTACAAAGAGATGGTGAGTTCAACTTCACAAAGTACTAATCTAACAACTAACTATTAACTTTTGCCGATAAAAAAAAATAGTGCAAATCGATTGCTATTAATTTGAAGCACCACTTGCACTTGCTCCAAAAATTTTGAATAATTTCTCTAGATTGTGTTAAAAAAGAGAGTGAGAATAAAACCAAAAGAATAGGGAAGATTAACTTTGATTTTTGTGATGACATACAGCACGATACAGGAGCAAAGACAGGAGATTTTATTTTTATTTTTTTGGAGGAGGCATGTGGTTTTACTTCCTTTTCCAATGCTTGGCTTATGCTCATGTGCCAAGTTACTAGACTAGTATTTGTAAGAATAGAATCTTAATTTCAGCAAAGTTGAAGTGATTGGGGAAGTAAGCAAAGGGCTGGAAAGGCAGGCTTAGGGAAATGAGGTCATTCATGTTGATAACATTAGCTCTCAACATAGCCTCCAATGGAATCCCAACTACTTCTGATATGAAGAGAATATACCATCAACCTTTACAATAATATCCACGCTTTCAAGGGAACAATATTTTGCTAACAAATCCGGTGACCTTCTTATATTAATAGATGAACAAAGCCACTGACTGACCTTAAATTTCCTATTTAAATTCATAGATGAAGTTGATATGATGAAGAGAGTTTAAGCACAGAGCCTACCTACTGATGAAGTTACAATAATTGTTCTTTCAGAGAGCTATTTGCATTTGCACTGTCAGACTCCTTAACCATAATCTCTCACCAACCTTTTTAATTACTATTTGAAACCCGAAATTTCAAGATGATGGGAAAATGTTTCAAATGTTATACTCATTACAATTCCAACAATTAAAAATAGAGATCTACAAAAGATGGGGGATGAGTGTAAAAGAAAAGAAAAATGTTCAATAAACAGATGATGGATGGATCATGGATGGATAAAACAATGTCACTTCCAGTTGTTGGCAACAATGTCTGCGAGATCAACCACCCTCTGTGAGTAGCCCCACTCATTGTCATACCAAGCAATCACCTTGACCATGTCATCTCCCATAACCATGGTTAGTGAAGAGTCCACTGTTGAGGACACATCTGAGCATCTGAAGTCCACCGAAACTAGTGGCTCATCACATACAGATAGGATACCCTTGAGCTCATTATCAGCGCTCTCCCTGAATGCAGCATTCACCTCCTCAGCAAATGTCTTCTTGGTAACCTGGACAACAAGGTCCACCACTGAGACATTGGGTGTGGGGACACGGAGGGCAATCCCGTTGAGCTTTCCTTTGAGGGTGGGAAGGACAAGAGCGACTGCCTTTGCAGCACCAGTAGATGTCGGAACTATGTTGAGAGCTGCAGCTCGTGCACGTCTAAGGTCCCTGTGGCTTGCATCAAGAAGCCTCTGATCTCCAGTGTAGGAATGAGTGGTGGTCATTGTACCCTTTATGACGCCTATACCATAATATATCATTTTCCAAACATCCCATATCAACATTAACAGACCCAGACTCATGATCACATGTTACTTGTTAGGGAGTAAGTGTCAAAGGCATCAATCATCAATCAATTAGTAGATATATACTTCTTGTAGTACTAGTCACAGGACCAATAATTCTATATTTGCCAATAAGCCATGGTATTATGCTAGCAATCCTCATCATGTTTTAAGTACAAACATACAAAATTATTTTTACTAAAAAGCTGAGATTCAAAAACCACAGAAAAGCTTAGGTAAAATTGTGTTGACTTTGAGCAGGATAAATTAATTTTCAGAAATGTTTATTTTTCCAGGATGTTCTTAGAAATGTTTAATTTTCTCTCCTAGCCTAGAAACTTCTTACTAATCCTTGTTAGAGTGGTTAACTTAGGCTATGTTTGGTTCATGGATTTGGGAAGGGATTTAGAAAGGAAAGTGAAAAAAGTATGTGAAATGTAGTTATATTTCATTCACATTTCACTTATATTTTCTCATTTTCTTTCCAAATTTCTACTCAAATCCATGAACCAAATAGAGTGTTAGGGGTCTGGAAGACAATAATAATTCCAGTCCTAGGTGCAACCTCTACATAGAAGTTTTATACAATTTATTTAGGGATGCACCAAAGCCAAAAGATGTTTGGGAAGCCTCTCTAGCTATGAGTGGTTGCAAAAGAAAAAAGCTTTCACTGATCAGATGACATTTCATGGAAAATATTTACATTGTTATGTTCATTTGGCATATTTGAAAAACTAGAAACGAGGACATTTATCAAATCATTGCCATCAATGTTTATGGAACTTGAAACTATGCAAAGACATATCAGAAGATATGGAACAGAATAGAAAAAAGGTTTTTAAAATAGACTTGGAGCCACTGGCCAAAGGATTACTAAGCTTATAATATAGTGTTTTCCTTCTAAATTGAACATTGGTGGAAGCTGTAGCAGTAACCCAATGATAGAAGGCAAGTTCTGAGAAATGAAATAGGTGCTTGGTTGTGTTTTGTGGATATTATGGAAACCAGGGGAATTGAACATCCATAGGCCAAGAATCTTAGGAAGATTACAGGGGCTCGGCTTGACCATCATTTTGGAAAGAAGCATGCAAGGAGCAGCAACTGAATTGAATTGATTCAGATTCAGATTCGGAAATGGAAGTGAAGATGGTTCGGGATGGAGCAAACCAGACCTTTCCACACCATGTGCTTGTGGAGGAATCTAGGTTACATTTGCGAAGGTGCAATTGTTAGTTTCAGCAAACACAAACGAAGGAAATTTGTGTGCTAAAGTGTTGGCAAACATGGGAGCTGAGCAAGAGGAACACCTTCTTGTGCATGAAGATCCCTTGAGCAAATCAGAAGGCTAGTCATTGCATTGCTTCTGTGAGAGGAACTTCTTTTTGAAAGGGCTCTAACCTTTTTAGTTGACTCTTTTTCCTCCCTTTTTTTTTTTTTTTTTTTTTTCTAGTTTGACTAATGTTAAGCAAACAAATTTTTTTTTATAGAACTGTCATCCAAAAAAATGTGTTCTTTCGTGGTCAATTCATTTCAAAATAAAACACTGTCATTATGGTATATAATTTTTTAAAATTGTCACCCTTTTGAGTTTTATATATATAAAAAAAAAATTCTTCTAGTTTATCAATACAAAAACAAAACCAAAAAAAGAAATAAAGTGGAGTGTACTGGTGGGTGGAAGGGATATACGAGGATTACCGAATTTCTGGTCAATGACCTTGACAAAGGGAGCAAGGCAATTGGTGGTACAAGAGGCATTGCTGATGATGGGCTCAGCTGGGTTGTACAAGTCGGCATTGACGCCCACCACGTAGGTTGGTATGTCACCTTTCCCAGGGGCAGTGATGAGCACCTTCTTCGCCCCTGCTTGTAGATGCTTCCCTGCACCCTCCCGGTCCACAAACACACCGGTGCCCTCAATCACCAGATCAACTTCCAAATCCCTATACCATTATAAAATGTGAATAACTATATATATGATATGAGTTTAATTCAGGAGCTGAATACTGAAAAGAACATGAAAGGAAATGTGAAGAAAATATGTAGACAAAAATAATATAAGAAGAAGAATAGGACAAATTAGTTAATTACTTCCAAGGAAGGTTGACAGGGTTGCGACTGGAGACGACTTTAATGATCTTGCCGTCAACAGAGATGGCATCATCGCCCACAGGCTTGACTTCGGCGTCAAAGATGCCAAGGGTGGAGTCGTACTTGAGGAGGTGCGAGGCCTGCTTGACGCCACCGGTGTCGTTGATGGCAATGACGTCAAGAGGGGAATCCTTCCTGCCATGCCAACACCTCAAGAAGTTCCTTCCAATCCTTCCAAAACCATTTATTGCCACCTTCAGCTTTGCCTCCACCACTCCCCTCCCATTGTTCCTGTTCTCACCAATCTACCACCAAAAAAAAAAAAAAAAACCCCATTATCCTCAATTTAAGAAAATTTAGTACTCCAATTAAAATATGCAATAAGGATTTCCACCAATCAACCAAATCATGCTTTTTGGGTCAATTTGAATTGTAGTAATTTTATATTTTGTGTTTGCTAATCTAGTTAGATAATGTGAGTAATACTTTTTTAACTTAAGATGATCACAAACTCTTTAGTGTGTCCATCAGTCTTGCATGGACAAAATGGAAAAACAAAATAAAAATTATTTGTATTGATGGTCCTTATAGGAGGTCCCCAATTATGTCAATTTAGTTTATGTAATTTCAGTTGTAATAACTTTGTTCCTTAATTTGTAATTCATGTTTAATTTGTACAAATTAAAAATTGATGCAAATATATTTAATAAGAAAAATTAGAACATACAAATCACATAACACACTCAGAGGCCATGACTAAGATGGTCGGAACACTCGTATCTTTCGTTGAGGACACTTAAAACGAACAAGAAATAGGATTAGATCATAACAAGCTATTGATGCATTGAATTCTTTATTATTTGTTTTCAGCTTCTATGTATCCATGATATGTTTAGTAGACAGAAAGAAAGAACATATGCAAATAAATCATTTGTCTCTTATAAGTTTGTTACTTTAAAGAAAGAGTAAAAGAAAAATCATAACAACTCAACAGAATCACTCATCTTTGCAGGTAGACTGAGACTGGCTAATAGTTACAACACCTACACACTCTTTTCAATGATTAGATCACCAAAAAACAAAAAAAAACATTAACTAATTTCACAGAAAAATGACATAAGATTCATTCATGTAATCAATACAAGTATTTGCAAATTCTGCAGTAGTAACCAAACCATGTATTCATTCACAAGTGCTAGCTCTATCTTCCCCAAGATGCATATGCATCTATTGCCATCATTTGATGCATTCTTGTCTTGCCACGTCTTCATTTACAATAATTGTAGCAGGATGAACATATTTTCTCATGCCTATGCTAAATGTTTTTATTTTTTATTAATCAAGAATGGGATGGTAGAATTTGTAAAAATCTGCGAGTGGATCAACAAATTAGCAAAGCAAATGCAATTAAGCTGCATGGTGTCAAATATGCCCAATGCCAAAACAAGTATTCCGAAAATGTTTCCTCTGGGTTCTGAAGCACCACCACCAGCAGTGCCTCAGGGGAGGAGGCAGGGGGGAATTGGTAATTCAATATTAATGTGTGTGGTATGGTGGTGCAGCAACTAGCTAGCTGTAGCTGGTTGATTGACCAATGGAAATGATGTAGTAATATCTAGCAGTTGTAACGAATATGTGTGTGCGTGTGGTTGTGTATGCAGAGTACACAATAATACATGGTAGGAAGTAGTAAGAGGAAGTAGCAGTGAAAAAGAGACTACTCACAGCAGAGGTTTGGAAGGCAACGACAGATAGTAAATCTAAGTGGGAGGCTTTCCGAGCAAAGGGAGCGGAGGCTGAAGTGTTGCGGAGGCCAGCGAATTCGGAGAATCCTCTACCGTTGGCCTGCATGCATATATATTCATTCATTCAAACATCAGCCTTTGTTTTCTAACAGAACGTGACTTGTGTCTCATAACTCATTCAGCTTTAGTAGTAGTAAGTAGACTAGTCTTTTTTTTTTTTATTTTTTTTCTGCCAATTGATTGAGAAATGAAAGAAAGAAAAGACCTGCAGGGGAGATGAATTAACCATGGAGAGAGCAGCTGATGCCATGGGTGCCTTTTTGGTGTCAACCTACCCCTGACGACAACTAAGATGACCACTGAGTTCACCTCAGTTTTACTTGTTAAGCAGCAGCAGCGGCAGCAGCAGCGGCAACGCAATTACAGTGGATGCAAAAAGAAAGAAATCACAAGACTGGGAAATGCAGGTGAGGAGAAGGAGGAGGAGAGATGGGAAATTTAGTTGGGGGTTGGGAGAGGGAGAGGGAGAGGGGGAGGGAGAGGGGAGAGGCCAGCAGGGAGGAACATATCATATCAACAATATCAATATCAATATCAATATCTATTGGACAAAATATGACCAAGGTATAGAACGAGAGAGAGAGAGAGAGAGAGAGAGAGAGAGAAAAGAAAGAGAGAGGATGAGATTATTGACAGCCTCTCGCTTAACGTATGGTTGTCGTTTGCCTTTCTATTCTCCTCTTCCTTCCCCCTTATCATCTCCCTCTACCCTCCCTACTCCCTCACACCACAACTCTCTTGTTACTATTAGGGGTGCAATTTGAACATGCCAATCCAAACTTTAATCTCAAAAATTTTTAGAATTTTAACAGTATAATTTTAAAATTGATGACTGGGACGACTGAAATTTGTCAACCCAAACTAAATTTCAAATAAGACTTAAGGCAGCATTGTTCCTAACTTGAATTCTATTGTTTATATATATATATATATATATATATTATATTATACATAATGAACATGAAATATTATAAATTGCAAATTATTTTCTCAGCATTTGAATCAAATGATATTGAAATATAATATATTATATTATTTGTTACGCGTAATGTAAACTATTTTTTTTATTATGTTTTGTATTTGTATTTTTTGAGATTTTTTTTTAAAGAAGTGACAATAAATTAATTTGAGGAATTCAAAATAATTTTTTTGTGTACGAATTTGGCAATCCAAACTTAGCTAGAATTTTTACCTGAGCTTAAGCTTGGGCAAAAGTCGAGCAAAGACTTTACTTTTGTGCTTCTCTTAAGGACAATATAAAAGTTTGCGGCCCAATCAATCCAAAAGAAAGTAATATGAGACTAAATAGATTGTAAGACGTAAGAGGGAAGATGTCACATGAAATTATCCCCGATATACAATGAATCTTGTTGTAAGTTTTTTATTTGCAAATGAAAAATGGTTGAGAGCATTAAAAGTGATACTCTAATAGCACCACTAATTGTGTGAGTGATTTTCTGATCACACTGCCCGCTTAGTAACCAGCTAGAGAGCACCGGCAGAATAGATGGCTTCAGTTAACCTGTAACAGAAAGAAAAGGCTCTGGCGGTGGCTCTTCCACCCGGGGGCACTCCGACGATCAAGTCAGTATATCTCTCAAAGACAATCAAATGCTAAACTCACTGCTCAAAGCATAAATTGCGTACCTTAGACCCACGGGGGTGCCTCTCTTTTATAGTTTACTTAATCCTAGTCCCACAAGAAGCCCGACTTCTATGGACTCCAATTCAGTACTTACTTTGGACTCTTCAAGAGATAAAGATAAACTCCTTAAAAGCTTTATCCTCATCTTGACTAAGTCTCCTCTTTATCCTAGAACTTTTGTCCCTTATCTTTTATCCTCTTATCTCGGATTCCGATATCTTCGGAGATAACCTCGGCCTTGCCGAGATTACCTCGGCGTTACGACCAGGATACGTAGTACCTCGACTGACACGTTGGCGTCACCTTGCCACATGTTGGTACTAAGAAAATATATCCCCACAACTGCCCCCTAGGTTCTATTACCTCGGCCTCAGCATTCTGAGGTGATAGAACCTATATCATTCCGTTTTTCCAGTATGTCGGTTTTCAGTATCTCAGTCGAGGTCATTATTTTGGCCAATTTCCTTATATTGAAGAACAAGAACTTCAAGAATCCTTCCACGCGTATGAGCTGTAATACACCATAATTCAACCGTTTTTAACTACGCGTTTCTTTCTCACTGGTTTGTACCTGTGACGCACCCGTGAGTCGTCTCTTTCTCACGTGCGCCGTCTGACGTATGCGCTCTTCTAGGCGTATTGATTATTTTTTGCCGCCGTTTTCATTTTTGACAAAAAACTTTCCCCCTTTCTTCATTTTTCCACTTTTGCATCTGATTTCTCTTGCTTTTTCTCTCTCTAAACTCTTTCTTTCGAATCCGCCATTGCTCAAGCTCCCAGCTCTGTAATTGCCTTCATTTGTCTTTCTGGTGAAGCTTTCGCTACTCTGTTGCTTCTGCAACCATCGTCTGACCTCGGCGAACCTTATTTCGGCCCTACTTCTTCTGGTAAGCTACTGTTCCTTTCGTTTTCAATTCCGTTGATATTCTTCATTATTTGTTGCCTTTACTGCATCTGTTGAAACTTTTAATTTGCGATTCATACACCTGAATGTGTTCTTCCCATGATTTTGCCCTTGCCCATATCTTGAACACACGCATTGTTTCACTACTTCCCTGTATCTTTGTCACTAATCTTGGCCCTGTATTTCTTGTATTTTTTATGCTCTTGATAAACCATCTCTGTTCTTGATTCTGAAATTCCATTCTTGCTTTTTGTTTTTTTTTTTGTGTCTTTTCCAGATCTGTGCCTTTGATCTTCATCTCAATAGTTTTAGGTTTGGGATTTGTTTGTAGAACCCACGATTTAGGGCAAAACTGAAAACATTCCCTACAAATTTCTGTACCAGCTCAAACCTAGATTTTTGCCGAGGTCCCATCAATAAGAAACATCTTCTTTATGAATTTCAACCCTTCTAATTCAGGCCGATATCATGGGTATGTGGAGACATTGGAGACATAGGGTAGATACCCCGACCAAACTTGAGTACTTTAGGCAAGAGTTCTCCATCCCTGCCGATGTCCATCTGAGGCTGGCTGGGAATGATGACTCCATCATGCCTACAGAAAACTCCATGCCCTTTCCTATTGTATCTTTTACTGAGTGCGGACTTCGGCTCCCTCTCAACATCCTTTTTCGCGAGATTCTTCACTATTATAAGTTGAACCCCATGCAACTGGCAATCAATTCCTATCGAGTGATCTTTGGTGTCATAGCCTTAACTAAACAGGAAAACGCTAGGATCACCCTAGCCGATATCCAGTATTGCTATACCATATGTGCCCTTAATTTGAAAGAAAAAGGCTACATCTATTACCTTAAGCCGAGGTCTACTGAATTCAAAATTGTAGCCGACCTCCCAGACTCCAACAAGGGGGCTGGTGATGACTATCTCATTACCTCGGGAAATTGGGAGTTTGCTCCAGACGAGAACATCCATCTCTACCCTCTTCCCCGATCAGTTTTAGAGGGCAAAGGTAAGAGCCCAGCATTCAGCTTTGCCTGTTTTCCTTCAAAGTGTTAAATACTTTGTCTGTTTCTGACGTCTGTTCTTCTTGCAGCTGTTCGTCAGCCACCGAAAAATTTTCGCCAATCCTTTGTCCCCAGCAAGGATTTGAAGAAACTTCTGGACTTACCAGTCCATAAGAGAAAAGCGCCTCTGCTTCTCAATTTTATTCCATCATACAAGTCGACTTTGCCCGACATTCCCAAAAGAAAGAAGAAAAGCCTTTCTCCACCCTCTGCTACAACTTCATTGACTACATCCACATCACGAACAGATCAAGGATCAACATCCGATCCAGCTGATCAGCCATCAACCTTGGCTCCATACTTGGTCCCGATATCAAAACAAAAACGTCGACGGCGACTTGTCCTTACTGCCGAGATGGGCCGCCCGAAGCCTGTTACAAAAGATCGTCTGGCCAGTATTCCATCATCTGTTGATGAGCAGCCAACACAAACCCAACCTCCATCAAAGCCAAAAAGAATAAAGAAGGCTCCATCAAAGCCAAAAAGAATAAAGAAGGCTCAACCAAAGCCTAAGGTAACTCAGGTTGAGTCTGAAGATACCCTGTCTATCTCAAGGTTGGCGGAGAGTGACAAACCTCAACCCTCTGCTGGGAAGAGGCGCTCGGAAACCCAGCCATCAGAGTCCCCAAAATCTAAAAAGCCGAGGTCTTCTTCCGCTATGACTTCGGGATCCAAGAAGAGCGATGCCCCCTGGTCCCCAAAAATTACTCTGGAGGACAAGCCAGTCTTGGCCACTGACAGTGCCGACGACATCAATGTCGGCGTAGCATTAAGCACAGCTCTGCTCCTTCCCGGCGACCTTGACTGCAACGCCGAGTTGAGCGAGTACGAGAATTATGCGTTGATGCTTCAACGCTCCGTTCAAGTAAATGTCTTCTTCTTGGTAATTTTCTTCTTTCTGTTTTGTATTTAGAAAATTTTGTGCTAATTTTTGCCTTATGTTCTTTCAGGCAATCCAGCATGCCCACTCATTTTCTGTTCAGTCCTTTGAAAATCGAAAAAAGCTGGCCGACTTGAAGAAGGAGTTCTCTTTTCTCCAAAGGATCAATAAGAGCCTTGAATCAAAAATGAAGAAACTGGAGGATCAAGTCGAGGCTGCAATTAAAGCTCAGAATAATGCTGAAGAGAAGGCTGAGGCTGCTGAGGCTATCAGGAAAGTGGCCAAGTCCCAAAGAAAGGAGGCCGAAGATAAGATGGCCCAAGCCGAGAAAGAGCTTGAAGAAGCCTTGGCCACCAAAGAGGCTGAAATAAAAGATGCTGATGAAAAGGCATATGTCCAAGGCATGGCCAACGTCATTGATGCTTACGAACAGCAAGTGAAGGAGGCATGCAATAAGGGTTTTACCCTTGGTTGGATGTCCCTTCTGAAGAAACTTAACGTCCCAAAGGACTCGCCATTAAGAAAACCTGATGCCATTCCTCTGCCATTTCCTCCAATTCAACCTCCAAATCAAGACGTCGACGAATCCGAATCCGAGGAAAATGATGAGGATGAGGATCAGGCCTTGGTGAGAAAATCCAAGGATGCTGATGGGGCCAAGTCCCCTCCTCAGAATGAGCAAGTCCTAGACTTGACTCAGGATGAGGAAGGTGATGAGGTTCCCATAGAAGCTGTTCCCGAGAATGCACTAGCCGTCATCTCTTCTGTGGACAAGAGTGTTGAAGAAACTCTGTAAGAAATTGATGCCAAGATAGCGACGGATAAGGCTGCTGGGATGTCTTCTCAACCAGCATCTGATCTTCAAATTCAACCAACTGATGGAGAGGAGTCTTAACCTCATGTTTTCTTTTGCTTACTTGTATTTTGTTGCTTCTTTAACTTTTGGAACAATGCATGTTTTTTGTATGGCCGATGTGCCCTTTTCTTGGTGAATGAATATAATTTTTCTTTTATTGTCTTCTCTTTATTGCTTTG